CCAACATTCTTAGCAGCAGATCAAGCAAAGGATTCAATATAATCTTTCCATTCCAGAGCGTCAATTTAAATACGAGTATCGATTAAAAATATAGATTAAATAAAAAAAATATATCGCATTAAAATGTAAAATCAATTAATTCTGGATTAATATATATATATATATATATATATATATGTGTGTGTGTGTGTGTGCGTGTGTATTTGTGTGTGTATGTGTTTGAGAGAGAGAGAGAGAGAGAGGGAGAGAGATTTATAGATTTGACCTATTTCGCAATTTATTTAAACCGAATATACGTTTTCTTCAATGAAACAGCTTGGAGATGTTCCGGTTCTTGAACTTTAAAGAAAGGTTCATGGCGCATCGTCCAAGGCGAACTTATTAAAGCTGCTTGCAAATTAATTGCCGTTTATACACAGATTTATTGAAATATCGTGTCGATAATAATCCATTGAGGAGAATAATTTAAATTAATTTATAATGAAAGTAACTAATCTCAAAAATCAGACATCGGGGAATTATAGAAGAAGAAGAAGAAGAAGAAGAACTACTGCTAATAATAATACTACTACCTCTAATACTACTGCTGCTACTACTACTACTACTACTAATAATAATAATAATGTAACCTAGAAAAGGTTACTGAAAACGGAGGTTGGAGATGAAATAGTAATCATTATAACATCAAAAGACGCAATACTCGCCAGCTGCGTGAAATAGGTAAACCACTGCTAATGGTGAACTACTCAGACAGAATATAACACCGACTTACAATAGTGCCCAACGCATTTATGAGGATTGTGACATACACATTAATGTTCATAGGTACGGTATATAACTAATAATAATAATAATAATAATAAGAAGAAGAAGAAGAAGAAGAAGAAGAAGATTATTATTATTAATAATAATAATAATAATAATAAGAAGAAGAAGAAGAAGAAGAAGAAGAAGATTAATAATAATAATAATAATAATAATAATAATAATAATAATAATAATAAGAAGAAGAAGAAGAAGAAGAAGAAGAAAAAGATGATGATGGTGGTGGTGGTGGTGGTATAAGTTAAAAAAAAAGAAATGTTAAAATACGAAAATGTAATTGAATAATAAACAAAAGGTTTATGTTAAAATGATAATTTGAAGAAGAAGAAGAAGAAGAAGAAGAAGAAGAAGAAGAAGAAGAAGAGAAAGAAATGTTATACTTCGAGAGCAGAATCTCCCTTAGATGTTGAAACAAACGCTGTGATTCCTATAGACAAACGGAACACACAACCTAGGTAAGAATACCGGATATTAAAATCAAAAGCTAAAAGATGGTGGATTTTGTTGCTGGGAAACACAACGGAGTAGATCTGAATATAAGGGAAATGATGAAGTCAACGATGTTATTTTTTATAATGCAACGCGATGTTTACAAAATATTGAGTTTTTTTTAAAGAAAATATAGAAAGTAACTGAAAAGAATATTTAAAAAATGCGAAGTTAAAGAGTATATATCGTGAAAGATAATGACTTTTTAAATTACGCGGTTCTGTAAATTCCATATCTTGACAAATTCCATATTTTGACAACTCCATATCTTTACAAAACAAATATTTCAAAGATACCAAAATAATGAACAGCTTCATATACTAATCCGACTGAACGCCAACGGAAAACAATATTCAGGCAAAGAGCTGCAATTTAGAAAAAATAGTTTGATTTGGTTTGATTTGTTTTTGTTTTACGGCATATCAAACTCAATACGTTATTTAATGCCGTTAAGATTTTTATCGCTCGTAATATTTTCTTTCAAAAAATGTATTGCTGGTAATATTTTTTCAAAAATGTATTTCTGGTAAAAAAATTTCCAAAATAGTATTGCTGTTATTAAAAACTATTTTTATACTTCCATTGTTTTGATCCCTTTTGTGGGGTTAACTATTTGCCCATAGCTGGGACCCTGACAGGTGCTACCACCCCGGGTCAAGGTGGACATAGGAACACCAGGTATTAAGAGGTGGTTCCATGCTCCTCAAAACCTCTTGATCAAAGGTCTTGCTGCCGGATGTAGTTTATCGTCTTACCCAGGACGCGGATACAGTTTCTCGTCATATTCAGAACGGGTAGAAAAATTAGTAGATTTAGCAAAATCCACGTATGACAAACTAACGAAGCTAACAGAAAAACGTGTAAAAAATTAAAAAGAAGGATAATTTATTCAGATTCATGTGAAGGGGGTGTAACGTTTAGAATCTGTGGACGAGATATCGATGAGCTGATTTTGAATTGCGTTTCAGATCACATTCTCATAGCTAGTTTTGGGATGATATGAACTTATCCAGACAAGGTGCGAGGGGTAAAATATCGCCATTTTTTTTTATTTCGTGCATACGCGTTGTTTTTTTTTTTCTTTGTTTCTTTTTTGTTTTCTTCTTTTTTTTCCAACTGCACAGTTTGGCAAATTCAGCTTGGCACCGTCTGTGAGAAAAATAGATCCATGACGCAGTTCACTCAGCCAGAAATTTGGAAACAGTATGCTGAACTGCTTTGGCATCCGTGGCGGAAGCTTTAATATGAACATTTCAGAGTGTTTGGGTTTCAATCCGAAGACAATGCAGAGGATTCGGAAAGAGATGGATGAGTCTAATGGTGATTACGAATCTACGGCAGCTCGGGAAAAAAATCACTCTATTAAGAAAAGAACTCCCAGATTTGTTTATGAGGCCCTCAGACTAAACACGGACGCCTATATCAAGTGCCTTCAGGTGGTAGTGCTGCTCTGAGTCATGAGAGTGTGTGCTGGACGACCCTATGACTGGCAACAGGACTCTGCACCAAGCTACACACAATATTTAGAATAATGACTAACTCTTATACACAATATTTAAAAGTATTATGACCAAGTAAATGGTTAAAGAAATGATAAGTGTTACAGATATATCATATATTAAACAGTAAGTACAAAAGAAGAGTATTACACGACAAATAGGTGTGTGTCGGTTGAACCAGCGTTCCATCTATTCAGTTGTTCCCCAAGACGTTCTCTTCTACTAATGTTATAGTAGGCGAAAAAGTCCAACATAGACTCTTTAGAGGGAAGACATCACAACAAAGATAATGCTAACGCTAACTCTTAACTCATTTAAAATAATGGCTAACTCATATTCGAGTATGCCTGGTTCGTATGGTGGCTAGACATTCGCTGTTGCAGGTGTCTGCTCAATCACATTTGCGGTTGTTCAACAACCACAGAGCCAAGCTGTGGTTTAAACCGTAACTATTCCGAGTTGAAGTTAGTTACATTTTCTGGGAGGTAGTGCATTATAGAGCGTGATCAACAGTTTGAGAAAAGCGAGTACGCACTAATATTTGGTCAAGCTAACTTGTGAGGTCATGATATCAAAATCATTGATGAACAGAATAGTTCAAATGTTGGTATGGTTTTCAAACATTTCTAAAACCTGCCATACACTGGGATTTCCTCTCAAGGCCGATAACCTCAAGATGTCATTTTCCTGACAAATCTACAATGGTGAAATTCAAACATCTGTCGCAAAGCAAACGTCTTATCCAGTTGGACAAGCACTCATAATCATGTCTGTCTATAAAAGGCAGGATGTGTGTGTGTTTGTGTGTGGGGGGGTGACGAAGGCACGGCAGCAATTTTCGACGGATTTGTCCCAAAACACCTGCACATGCTCCAAGTTAGCGGGAAGGCCAAGACCGACTTTGCATTTCCCAACTCCCATCGATAGTGGAAATAATCGATCTTTTCATGCTTCTACGGCAGTTTTCATGTAGTTTGCGGCCATTTTCTACTGGCTAGAGTGAGAGCCTATAGCTGGCTGCCACGAATAGGCAGGAAGATTTTATTGGACAGCGTGAGAGCCAACACCTGACTGACACGAATGTTAACTAGCATGCTAGCATGCAAAAAAAAAATCGATAGCTGCATTCATCACAAGTGGGAAAAATTTAAATCTGCCTGGCACTTTACTCCAATTGGCTCATTCGCTTGCTTAAACTCAACGTTGATTCTGATTCAGCAGAACTGGGTTTGGTGTGAAAAAGTATTTGTTGTTAACATTCTTTTTTTCATTCGGTTTTTCCAGATACGAGTCCTTTTTTAAATCTGATCGTTTTGTGTTCCTTTTGTTTAGTTCTTTTTTCGTAACAGATTTAATGTTCAGTATAGAGCTTCAAAAAATTCGCAGTGTGAGATAGGCAAGAAGTAAGACATATAGCAACATAAACACGGCAAAGGGCACTCCTTTAAAGGCAAAGAAGGGCAAAAATATTTTAAGTCAATTGATAGCGATTGCTGTATGAGTCGTACGATTTTTGAATCAAGCACTGGCAATACCGGGCCATTCTGCTAGTTTATTATACAAGAATACTAATCTAAACTTTACCATAAGGCCGAGTGGCCTATTTGAGGGCAAAGACGGCAGTCGTGCCAGTTTTACTCGAAGTGTTGTGTAGAGTCTAATGAGACATGGTAAAGGTGTGAGTGGGTTTGGGAAATTAGATGAAATATCGACACATTTACTTATCAAGAATGCGAGGAGAAATACGTAAGTCTTGAGAAGAGTTGCAATTGCTTATTTCCCCAATGTAAACCAGGAGTTAGTTCTGGGGTAAATAAACACTTATGTATAGTACAGATAGTAACAATCATAAGACGAAGAAGTAAAGAAAATGGCAATGTCCATTTTAAAAAGGCTGTCTGAGAGCAATAGTAAAAATCAGGTCAAGAGTGGAAGCAAAATTATCCGCGTCTTACGAATTGAAGGATTCGCAACGACAAGACGACCGTGAGTCCATTAAGTTGGAACTTGTCAGTTCTTGGAGGAACTGCAGCCAATAGTCGATTGTAAGCGGCTCCCAAGCGAAAGTTGTTTCTTTGTATTTCCGAGCGATTGCAGAACATTTTGAAATTCTGTCGATCCGACTTGCTTATGGATTGAAGTATGGGAAGCTTCCAGTTTGGTTAATGGGATTGTGATATTTCCTCAATGCTCGGAACAAAAAGAAAAGTGTTCTTTACAAATATCAGCTGTCGGATCAAAAACGCTGTCTAGCTTTTATAATTGGCCATTGGACTTATATCAGTCTAGCAGTGTATTTTCTTTCTTTCTATCTATCTATTTCTGTCTGTTTATATCTATCTGTCTATCGATCGATCGATCGATCGATCTATCTGTGGGTCTATTTATTTATCTACTTATCTATCTAATCATCTCTGTCTGTTTATATCTATCTCGGTCTGTTACTTTCTATCTATCTATCTATCTATCTATCTATCTATCTATCTCTGTCTGTTTATATCTATCTATCTATCTATCTATCTATCTATCTATCTATCTCTGGGTCTATTTATCTATCTAATCATCTCTGTCTGTTTATATCTATCTCAGTCTGTTACTTTCTATCTATCTATCTATCTATCTATCTATCTATCTATCTATCTATCTATCTCTGTCTGTTTATATCTATCTATCTATTTATCTATCTATCTATCTATCTATCTCTGTCTGTTTATATATCTATATCATCTATCTATCTATCTATCTATCTATTCATCTATTTTCTGGGTCTATTTATCTATCTAATCATCTCTGTCTGTTTATATCTATCTCAGTCTGTTTCTTTCTATCTATCTATCTATCTATCTATCTATCTATCTATCTATCTATCTATCTATCTATCTATCCCATTCTGTTCATATCTATCTATCTATCTATCTATCTATCTAGCTATCTAGCTATATTCGTTTTCATTCTCATACGTCTCTTTTGACCTTGTGCCGCGAAATGAGCAGTATAGAATCCGCTTATTCCTTTTTTAAAACCAGTCTCCCCCATATTCGCTTTCGCGTCATCATGTAACCGAAACAAGATGGCGCCATGAATATAATGGTGTGAGCACACCCCACCTATCTGAAACCTCCCTTCAGTGTCACACAAGAGATTCCTTCGGTGAGAACAGGCCGCATAGCTATGGGGAACTCAAAATCATGTCAATAAAGTATATCATTTCGGCAGAGACGCAAAATTATGGCTTAAAACGATGTGTTCTGCCCAATTCGTTGCTATGTACTAACGACTATATATATATATATATATATATATATATATATATATATATATATATATTTATTTAAAAGTATGATTCCAACTCGCGACATAAGAGGTCTCATGTTTCAAAAAAGAGCCGAAAAACTTCAATATAATTATTTAAATTAAATTGAGTTAAAAGTAAGCTCTGTTCCATCTTCAAGCGATTTTTTTTTTTTTTGGGGGCAAAAATTACGCTTATTATATTGAAGTTTTCGGCTCTTGTTTTGAAACATGAGACCTCTTATGTCGCGAGTTGGAATCATATTTTAAATAAATAATTATATTTCTGCTCTACTTTTGTATCGAGCACTATTTTTTAAAAATAATAACTAAAATACTAAGGAACTTTGGATTATTTACCTAACCAGTTCTTTCCTATTTTCTATATATTTTTTCACACACACACACACACACACACACACACACATATATATATATATATATATATATATATATATATATATATATATATATATATACACATACATGGCGGGGCATTACACGTCATCAAAATCCTTTTAGTGTAGTAGATGTGGTAATTGGTAAGATGGATAGTTCATTCTGGGAATGGAAAAAATGCATATGGTGAAAATTTTGATAGACGGCGCATGATTTAAATAGCTCGAACTCCAGGATGATGTGGTAATGCCGAGGTAAAAGAAGATCACAAGAACAAGAAACAAGGATATATGGATAAACACAGGCAGAGATAAACCGAAACATTCTTATATCCTTAAAAACTCTCTCACTTTCTTTCGCCACTCTCACTCTCTCTCCTCTCTCTATATATATATAAAGCAATTCATCCCCAACAAGACGAGAGTGCCACTAGCACGCAAGGGATTACAGAGGATTGAGAACATGAGTAACGAGGCATGTTTGAGGAAAGCATACAGAGGACGTGCAAGAAGCTCAGATTGCCAGATATCGAATGACATTACACTTAAATATTTGAAGATTATAGTCATCGCGAAAGCAAGTAAGGGGAAGGGAATTCCACGGACGGGAAGTGCGTTATATGAAGCTGCTTGAGTAGAAGAGACGATTACCTTTAACCGTTTAGAGAGTGAAACGTTGGGATCGAGATTCCAGATTGGTAACTTGCTTAAATTCATGCAGTCCGGGAACCAGCGAAAGTAGCTCGTCGGAACAGTTGCCGTGGAAATACTTGTAGAAAAGACAGGGGAAGGCCAAAACACCTATGTGGGATAGCGATTATAGAGCACATGCAAGATCAGGACCTCTCCTTTTGGATATTTGTCTCTGGATTTTGTAGAGAGCCTCGACACATACAGCTGGAACACCAGACACACACACACACACACACACACACACACACACACACACACACACACACACGCGCGCGCACAACAACACACACACAGATATATATTATTATATATCTCTCTTTCTTCTCTCTTCTCTCTCTCTCTCTCTCTATATATATATATATATATATATATATATATAGAAAGAGAGAGAGATAAACAGTATAGACACAGAAATAATGATTTACTAAGCGAAGATTAGATGTGACACAAGGCCGATATAGGGAGCACCTGATTTTCTCTTCTTGTGTGGCATAATGCATGAATTATTATTCCGGACATGGGTTCTCCCAGCAGTCACCTTCTTGACAATGGACAGCACCACGTGCTCAAGGCACTTGATGTAGGCTTCCGAGTTGCATTTGAGGCATTATGGGAAGATGGATGGAGGCATAATCACTAGTGATAACTCCTAACACTTTCGTAATCACCATTAGACTCACCCAACTTTTACGAATCACCTGCACTATCTTCAGATGGACATCCGAACACTCTGAAATGTTTGTATGGGAGTTTCCGGCACGAATGACAAGCAGTGCAGCATGCAGTTTCCAAACTTCTGGCGGAGTGAATTGCGTCGTGGCGGTCTTTTTGCTACAGACGGCTTCCAATAGACCCTGCTATACTTCGCAGTCGACAAAATCAAACACAAACCAAGCGCATGCGTGAAATTAAAAATATAAAATTTACGTATATATACCCATCGTCCGCCATATATATATATATATATCTATACATACATATATATATATATATATATATATATATATATATATATATATATATATATATGGTGGACTCTCCTATCGTGGACGATAAATGAGGGTCAGCAATGAATGGTGTCTTTTGTTTCACACATAAGCATGCTAGCAAGGGGCTATTTTGGAAAAAAAATAAGGTAAGAGCAAGATATATTTCATTTGTGCTTTCTTAAGTGTGATACTAGCCTAGCCTTGCTGCGGGCGACAAAACCACAATGCCAGATGAAATTTCTTAAAACAGGATTTTGATGGCATCTCTGCTTCAGAGTTTGACGAATCTGATCACGGTACTTCAGTCTACTGTCATCAAAACCCTTTTTACTTAATAAAATATGTATTATACCACCCCTTTCTGTTTGAATACATGCATACATACATACATACATACATATATATATATATATATATATATATATATATATATATATATATATATTATTATTATTATTATTATTATTATTAATAAATCTTATAAGTATAAGAAAATATAGTCGCTCGGAAAACCTTCGGTGTATTAATTTACAAATAAACAGGTCAATATCAAAGGGAAAAAAAGGTATAAAAAAGAAAGAACCAAGAACATGTACGTTAACCGAAAATAATCGTCCAGCATACGAGTTTAAGGCCCAAAAAAAACTCCGATGCGAGTACCCAAAACAACTAAATAAAGTGCCCAATACAATGAGTAGAGCAGAACTAGTTAGACCTAGAGAGCCAGACAAACCTACTAAGGCCGTCTTTCCCTGACAACCCTCTTAGTTGAAACCTTTGTAGGTTTGTCTGGCTCTCTAGGTTTAACTGACTAACTAACTATATATATATATATATATATATATATATATATATATATATATATATATATATAAAAAAATGACAAACTCGTAATTGCTGACGCGTTTCGTCCAATGTGGACTTTATCAAAGCAAATTTTTTTTTTTTCGTATTTTGCTTTGATAAAGTCCGCATTGGGACGAAAACGTCAGCAAAATACTAGGCTTTCCTGTTGTCATTTTTATTTATAAATATTGTCTTCTCTACCGATTAAATCGGAGAAATTTTCATATATATATATATATATAGTGATTTTTCCAAGCCTAGCTTAAATGTCGCACAAGGCCAAATGTAGTGGGTGCCCAGTGAGGTTCGAACTCACTACTCAGTTGTAATTATTCTAGCGAGACTAAGAGCAACTCGAGATAGAGGATTAAACGTTTGAAATGGTTAGCAAGCTTGCATGAAATACTTACATCAGACACACATACTCCACAGTATCACGCAGATTAACTTGCCACGTGTCGTAATGCAGTGCAATCTTTTCAAACATGGACGAGTACATCATGGACAACCAATAGATAACTCTAAATATAAGACAAATATTTATGGGAAATACCAAAGTACCATCCACCAACAAATGAAAGGAAGGGCTCAAACCTCTAGAAGCTTTTTATTGTACAAAATAACACGCATTAAATAGGATATCGTTGGACACAGAAGACGTTATGTTGAAGTGCATATAATATAATTAACATAGGTGTATACTATACTAGCCTAAGAAGAATACGAATAAGTAAATAAAATAAGAAATAAAATAAATAAATGTATCACATTATTTCTGTGCGTCCGTTAGACTATTTCAAACTCTCAGCTTCCCAAAGAATAACGGAATGAAAACAAAGGAATACTAACTCTTAGGCATTTGTAATGCTAATTGTAATGATAATATTTGTAGTTTCTTTACAAGAACACATTTGGCATTCATTAACCGAGCAACCACTATGGTTGAAATTTATAAAATCATGCTCTTAAAAAAACTATTTTTGAGGAAAATAGGTTTCTCAAGTCCAGTCACTGTTATCGCTCTTTCTACAACTGATGAGGATTTCCTTCTTAAACATTGGTTTGAAGTCGAGTTGAAAGTGTACAGCTTGATTATGTTATCATTTTCTCTTTGAGTTACATGTGCAATTCATTTTAATTGTTGCTGCTGTTGATGGTCCTCAAGTGATGTGGTTTCTGTTATTTGGTACAGTTCATTATTTGCGATTCTGTAACGCCAGTACACAAAGAAAGATGGTCTGTGCTAATAACCTCAGCCTTTACTAGCTCAAAGTATTTTTTCACCGTTGATCTGAGAAAGCAGTTTTATGCTGCTGACTGATTAGATCTTTCTGAACAGGTCTCGCAACATACATGGTAACCATATGAAAATCTTGATCTGAGGATGTTTTTAAGAACATCACTTTTTCAGGTTGATGTTTTGGCTTCGTAGCAACTGGTTCTTAATTATGACTGCGATGCTCAACTTCGAGTAAAATATGAACAATTTATATGAAAACTTTATTAATAATTAAAAAATAAACAGAGTGACTTTTGCGATGAATACTTGTTGCCTAAATATATCTTCTGCCAATTCCTGTGACAACAACGACGCTAAGCTGTATTGGTTTCTAACTTTTCCTTTGGACAACGTCTCTGGCGTGGAGAGAGGTATCCACCGATCCCGCATAAGATTCTACCTAGGCCTGCAAACTGAAGAGGACACATCGTCAGCGTGCTGCTTTACGGAACATCTACTTCACAGAGGAGAGCCGCCTCAGAGCACTTCATCTTCGCCGAGACGCATTTTGGGAATCAGTTGGTCCGTAGTTCTCACCCATGCACAGTTACCCCGTTTATACGCCCGTCTCCAATGAATCCAGTTCTGGATGATGCTCCGGCACCACTGGCTTGGACAACGTATGCTGGATGGGAGGAACTGTCCATCGGCAAGAGGGCGACCTCATCTTCACTTCAACAGCGTCTGTAAAAGGGACATGTGGGCGATGGACATAGACATAGAGAGGTGTGAAGACATCGCTAATGATCACTCACGCTGGAGACTAGATTTTATCCGAGAGCTGGAGCGAGGTGGGGGAGAAAATGAACCTTGCCACCGGTGAGAAGCGTGCTCGACGGAAATGAAAACGCCAGGGGAGCGCGTATTCACATGCAATCAGTGCAATCGCGTGAGCGTGTAGAGCCAAAACAGATGCTGCGCTGCCATTAGTAGCCGAAGCATAATTATTTGGGCGCAGATTCATGGTCTCTCGAGACTGACGGGTGTTGCATAACACACACATACACACTTACATACTGACATATATATATATATATATATATATATATATTTTTTTGGATAGATGTGAGTTTGTGACCCTTTTCACGCTTCAGATCGTCAGACATTGTCTGATGATCGCTAAAAGCGTGAAACCCAGGTCAAACTCAAATCTATCCAACAAAATATGTTAGCTCTATCTCTGATATTGAGTGCTTTTTAATAAGTATCGCGCATATAATATATAAATAATTATGCATATATATATTTATTTATATTTATATACACTTTTCACACACACACACACATATATATATATATATATATATAATAAAAAGGCTTAAACACTAATATTCCGTGGTCATAATTTATTCCATTGGGATCGTTAATACGATTTAATTCATCAGACCTACAAATTCAAAAGTAAAACAACTCCGGAAATAAAAACAGAATTTAGAGAGAGTGTAAGTATGAGAGTGTATTTAAGTTATGTGTGTGTGTGTGTGTGTGTGTGTGTGTGTGTGTGTGTGTGTGTGTGTGTGTGTGTGTGTGTGTGTGTGTGTGATTTAAATACATTGAATTATATATATACGTACTGTAGCACTTCTTTACAAATTTCTAATCAGCCTTGTGAGATGTAATTTTCCCTCGAGCAGCTTTTTCTTCATGAACCGCTGCTCCCAAGTGGATGCTTCCCCGATCACTGCAATCTTAACATCTTCAAATCTAGGGTTAGCCGTTATCTTCACTATATAAGCGTGCCTCTTACTTTGTAACCCTCTATCTCGAGTGGCTCTTGGGCTTTATCCGTGCCTCAATTTATGCCAATGGGACTCTTATCAACTGATGTCCAATTCCAATAGGACAACACACTATGTTGCTAATAAAAATTAATCGGGTTTTCTATGCTAAAGCGGACCTTCACCATCATCTGATAGCAGTCATATGCTCAAGGTGACCTCCACCATCATTGGATCTCAGTTATATGGTAAGACTGTAAGGAAAACACTGGAAGCGAGAGGTTGAATGAAGAAGGGTTTAATTACATGAGAACATTGGTTGAGAATGCAATAGTTCAGTCCGACAAGCGTACGACTGCAAGGTGTTACACCTTTATGACACACTTTTTTCTCCCGTTCCATGAGCAGATGTTCTACTCACAGAACAAAGTAAGTTCCACTCGAACAACTTCTTACCGCGAACGACTGCCATGTGGAACCGACTCCCAAGAGGATGCTTACCCGATCACTACAATCTTAACTTGTTCATGTCTACGGTTAACCGTTACCTTCCCCACATATAAGCATAAACATTGCCTGTTACTCTGTAACCGTCTACATCGAGTGGCTCCCCTGTCTTGTACCGGGTGAACCTCAGTGAACAAAGGAAGCGAAATAAAATAGTATTTTAACGTGTGAAATAGGAAATACAAGAAAATCGAAATAAAAGTGAACAAAAAAGAAAAAAAGGGGGGGGTATTCGACGGAGCTACTGCTATATATTAGGTTGGTGCAAAAATAATAATGTAATAATGTCTTTTTTAAACGTTAAAAAATACGTCAAAAACGACATTATTACGTCATTATTTTTGCACCAACCTGATACAAATCTGCAAATAAGAATCAGCCATCAGAGCTTTAGTCATTTTCCCACCGCTCTAACGTAGCTTCCCTGAGTCTTTTCTATAAATACTTACATAGTGATTGTTTTAATGTAATTTTCACTATGGCTCATGCACATTATGGATTTCAACTCAGTACTTGATTTCCTAATTTCTCACTTGTGGAACGTTCTTGCGGCTTTTTCTGTTCTATTCAACAGTGATCTTCAAAAATTTAAATGCAATGCCAATCGCTATTTTCTGGCTTCTTAGTTCCTGTTCTCTCTACTTAATGTTTTTTTTTTTTCTCGTTTTCTCTAACACCCTGTAATTACTTGCTTCTTAGTGGTTTGATTGCCTTGCTTGTGGTGAAACGATTAAAAATTATACATATATATATATATATATATATATATATATATATATATATATATATATATATATATATTGGAATAATGTTTTGATACCACAAAACAAATA